TCTGCTTCATCTTGCGAGATAATGTTTCCATATCGTAGCCATATTGATGAGTCAAATATGGACGCGATTTTATTCGTTCGCATCCTGTATAGCTTTGCATGGTGGGTCTTTGTATTTCACAATAATTGCCAGGTACGTGTTATGAGCTTTCTCCTGCTTCAAAATCGCTGCGCTCCTGGTAGATGGATAATACAACCGCTGTATCTACAACTACAATATGTAGTTAGGGAAATATAAGCTCACTCCTCTGCTCAACATTGTAAACTCTACGTCTATACAGATGAGGTTGTGAAATCTCCGTGAAGAATGTAAGAGAGCACTCTGCCAGTGTATTGGAACCAGGAACCAGCAGAATGATAACGCGCAAAGTGCTGAAGGCTGTTTTTGTTTGTTTCGGGAGAATGCCGAGAAAGGGATGATCTCTGTGTCGTTCCTTGTGTGGCGAGAACTTTGTGTGTGCGATTAGCCTTCAGCAACTGAAGAAGCGAACGAATGCTGCGATCACTACCATTGCAAGTCGTCTATGCTCGCAGAAACGGTTTGTAGAGGAAACAATGAAGCGTGTCAAGGTAATTGACACCAAAATATCATTCTTGAGTTTAAGGTTTATTCAGATGTAAAGCAGAAGAACCTTGTACTGATGCAAGAAGTCCAAAAATGTGAGATATACTGGACAAAGTGAGCAGGGAAAAATCTCAGTGACCCGCTTATACTTGATGCCAGTAAACCATGCGGCACGTGAATATGTCACACAGAATTCCCCCAATCAATGATGGATATTGCAAGGCAGCTCCAGGTAGCACAACGACATGACAGGGCGAGAGAAGCCACTGAGGTGGATGGCAAGCATAAAAAAGAAAATAAGTTTAAACAATTACCACAAAACCCTCGTAGAACGGTATTTTGTCGTGAAACACTTAAAAGCGAAAATTTGAGGGAGATCAAGAAGTGAGGGACATGAATCTTATACTTGCTCTTAAACATGACTGTTATCCGCTGCAATTCGTCTTTTGCATGGACTGCCAGCTTAATTTGAAGTACTCAGAAGCCCAATTGATCAAGGAATGCACATCAAGAACCATCTATTGTTTGTGGATAATCGCAAGATTTTTGCAACCGACGAGGATATCATGAAATCTTGGCCGAAGAAGTTGAGAAATTTCATTATGGTGTAGGACTAAAACTGAATCAAATACACTAATTAAGCAAGTGAGCCACTAACGTCGAGGTATGCGCTGATAAGGCGGCGCTATTGAAAGGAACTCAAGGTTACATTTACCTTGGAATAGTAGAAGGCAGGACTAGTGCACCTACACACCTATCCGTGAAAGCTACGATAAAGTCTGTGCAGAAATTTTAGTGAGAATTGAACGGCTAGCCAGAACTGCACTAAAGGCAAGAACTTTATCAAGGCCGTGAATGAGCACGCTATAAGTTTTATATATTATTAAATTAAGGTGCTCAACCCTGGAGCCACAAGACTTAAAAGCTATAGACCATGATATCAGATAGTTACTAATCAAATACGGAATTCACAAGCAATTTACATGATTGGAAAGACTGTACCTATTGAACCTGGCGAAAACGTATCAACAGCTCAGACAGCGCTCTTGTATAGGAAATAGAAAATCGAACTCGTCATGCAAAGCTATACAAGATGCGGACGAATAAAATTGCATCCATAGTTGATTCATCAATATGGCTACGATACGGAAACATTATCTCGCAAGATGAAGCAGGATACTGTAACCTCCAAAGAAATATGTTTGGAGGTGAGAAAGGTATGTGCCAACATTGTGGGGAACGTGTGAAGACCGTGGTGGACCATCTAGCAATGCAGTGCGAAAAAATGTTACATCACGACTATACT